CGGTGTATACCCTACTTTAGGGATGGCAGGTGCAGTGTCCCGCTCTAAATACCTGGGCAGGTGCGTGTATATGAATTAGTGTGGCATGATGTCAGTTTGCAGCATTACTAAAGTAGACGGGTACAACTATAGGTATGAGCACAATTCTGTTTAGGAGGTACAAGCCTAGGTGCATAAATGCTGTCTAAAATGATAGCATTCTCTTTTATCAATAACATTTTGTATTGCCTCAAATATAAAATTGCTGCTTAATACCGCCGCAGGCTGCTTTGTTGTCCTGAAGTAAGATGATGTAAATTAGTTTTGCATATGGTATACACTCTAATTACAGAGTAGACATGTGCAGCGGCTAAAAATTAGTTTTGTTTAGTTTTGTTTTTCGGAATTCGTATCCTATATGTGTTTCGTTTCGGGAATCGGATTCGTATTTGGATCTGATTCCGAATTCCTGAAAATTCAACTTGAGGTGGGGAACATTAAAATCCCTTTCTTTGTTTTTATCCGTTTAAATGATAACAGTGCACGCACAGGATTTGGACGAAACTCGTTCCAAATCCGAAATTTCGGATCCGGATATGTTATATTTCGGAAATTCGGATGCTCCGAATCTACACATTTCCGAAATTTCGTCCGAATTTCGATTCGGAACGAATCGCACATGTTTTATATGTGGGAACGACCTCACCTTCCTCAATTTTCCTCACCTCACCTTCCCTCTTTCAGACTGGGGACTGGAAATGATGGGCAATTTCCCCAATGGTAACATAGACTGCAATAAACAAAAACTGAGGTTCTAATCATTCTACAGCAGGGGTGCCCACAATTTTTGTGTTTAGATCTACTTTTCAAATGACGAGCTACATGAGATCTACCAACGAAAAAAAACCTCCCTCACTCTCTCTCTCCTGGCTGTCTTTCCTCGCTCCCCTGACTGTCTCTCCTCGCGCTCTCTCCCCTGACTGTCTCTCCTCGCGCTCTCTCCCCTGTCTCTCCTCGCGCTCTCTCCCCTGTCTCTCCTCGCGCTCTCTACCCTGGCTGTCTCTCCTCGCGCTCTCTACCCTGGCTGTCTCTCCCTGCTCTCTCTCCTGGCTCACCTTGCTGTATTTTGCAAACAGTGCAGTGCAACAGGCTGTATAAACTAATATTCTTTGATGTAATACATAGCACTTCAACCACCAGTATCCACCAGAAATGTGTCACGGAGCTTGGCTCAGCAGACTCGGGCTAATAGGTAACCATGTTTGCACAGCTAAATAAATATACCAAAATGGAATAAAGGGGCCACCATTCACACCCTTTGTGATCTACCAGCATCAGCTTTGAGAGCTACTGGTAGATCACGATCTACCTAATGGGCACCCCTGTTCTACACTATGTAAAGCAAGAAGAGAAGGTTCTTGGCTGGCATTCCACAGTAACTATTTTAAACTCAAATTGGTAGACATTAATCAAGCATATAGGCAACACGACTGCATGCAAATCAGGCTGCTTCTCATTCAGTAAAGTCTATGCGACTTTTTGTATAAATGCAACCCCTGCGTTTCTAATCCTGGGCAGCCAACAAATAGATCTGCACAGGTCTGCAACAGATTTACAGTGAAGAGAAGACTGTGTTTCTCTTCAACTAAGAAGTGGTCATAGGAAAGTTTTTAGGACCCAATGTCAAAGGGCTTTGGACTTTTGTCAAGGGCACCAATTTGACAGCAGTTTGAGATGGGATGGGATGGGATGGGATCACACTGGCCTGGAGGCAGAATACCCCATATGAAAATGGCATTTAACTGTAGTATTCTATAGGATAGTGATTTGTATTTGCTTAATAGAGGCACATTTGAGCCCCTGCAGTTAACTCCTGATGAAGAGTATAGAAGTTTAGAATAGATTCTTTCCACAGTCCAGGTCATTGACACAATTTACTCTGTCCTTATTCATATACTGCTCTTAGATCGCACTGCTCTAACTGGAGTTTGGAGGAGGTACTGTGCCAGGTGAGACAAAGCGAGACTAATATTTAACCCCTCCAGAGCAATGGATCCCCGAAACTAGAAGACTCAAAATTGCTGCATTATGATTTGGAAGTATTGTTTGTTTAATGTCCGAATTCTCGTGTGCATGCAGAATGTTATACGCAGTCTGGGAGTCACCAGCGGTTGTCACCATTACGCCAGTCTGCTTCTTCTCAACTCTTGTACAGTTCTCTGGGCTGCATAATGAATATGACAGTGCAAGTGTTTTACTGTGTTTTTCCAGACATACACCAGTGAGGAGCCCATGGAGCTCGCTGAAAAATCATTTTCATGCTACAGTTAGAACAAACTACAGAGAGCTAGAGGAGAATGTGCAAATGAATTCTGTAATCGGGAGCAGAAGAGGAAAGCAATGCTTGTATGTTTGATCGATGCCTCTTCTCACCTTCAGCACACAGATTTTCAGCTGCTGGCATCCTACTTTCTCTCCTAGACTGGCTGGAAGAACAGTATTAAGTAAACCTAGATCAGTATATTTACTTAGGAGCTATTATGCAAGTCTAGGGTGACATTTGTTTTCACAAGTAATCAAAAATCGAACTTTTAGCTTCTGTTCCCAAGACATATTACAGTAAGCATAATGGCATCTTGGGAGTCTAATCCTTTCAGCAGCACGAGAAGTTGGCATCTAGTTCTTTTTCTCCCATACTACTTTTTTCTGCTGGCTGCTCTTTGAATATAAAGATCAGAGTAGGCATAGGTCATGTAGTGATAGAATTGCATCGTTGCTTTTGATGCTGCGGGCCACTTTAGCTGGTTTTGTGTTCATGCTGTGTGACTATGTCAGTGAAGAATATTGGAAGTTTTTTTCATCTTGGAATATATCAAGCTTTTTTTTCCCTTTAGAGGTGTATGTGTGAATATGATGAACAAACTATTGCCTTTCTGACTTTTAATTACATAAACGGGATTTATTTTTGATATATGTGCAAAGGGTAGTTTACTTGCTTGTTCTACTTACAAGTGCGTCCAGGGCCCTACGAGGGGCAGTACAGTATGTTCACTCATCCATAATAAAGTTTATAGCTGGACTAGAATGTCAGTAGTCCCTAACAATTCTCTTAGCGGTTAACGAACTGCAAATGCTTGCACGGATTGAAGCAGGACTGGCCAGCACATGACAAAGAGGGAGTGACCAGTCTGAATTGTGCATACAGAGTGCGGTGGTCAGGACTATGTAGTCTACATATCTAATTTTGCTGGGCCCCTCTGATGCCGTGCAGGCTGGGGCCGTCATTTGAAACGGCACGGAGGCTCCGGGGCTGCCTCTCACTGACTCGAGCAGCGGCTGTCATAATAGATATATTCTCATTTGTGTGTGTAAAATATGAGAATATATATATTTTTTTATTCATATTCGTGGTCCGCAGGATTAAAAATTATGAATCTAGTGGTTCATGAGGTCCGAAAGGTTGGTGACCGCTGGTCTACACCGCAGCAATCAGGGGCATGCATTGTGCAGAGTGGTAAGTGCCCCCTTACACTGGGGTCGGTGGTAAATGCTTCCTTACATTATCATTCAGTGTTAAGTGCCTCCTTATGTTGGTGGCCTTTGTTGATGGCACTTTTTGTAACTTGGAGGTCTGTGGGGAATGCTTCTGTTTTAAGATGGTGGTCTGTGTAAACTCTATCATTGGCTATTGGTGTTCAATTGTGACTTATCTGAAGGGAAGCTGCACAGGTTCTGAGCCGCTGCCCCCAAGTTTACTTAGTGATGCTAGGCCCCGTCAAGTGGCATATCACACTGCACAGCACCGTATGCATAGTTGGGTTTTGCTAGACCTGGGGACATGTGCTTAGGTGCCTGGATCTAGCTGGGAAACCCTGCTAGCATATATAAGGTTATATATGTCATGGTCTGATTCTGTAATCAGCTTTGTTCTGTTGATTTGTGATGTGGGTCTTACAGATATACTGTATCTGTACCTGTCACTGCATTGAGCATTACAAGAACTTTTGTATCTTGAGTAAAACTTTGTTTATTTATCCTTTCTTCTTATAAGTACTATTTGTACATCATTGTAATAGACCTTTTCATATAAAACAGACGCATCATTCTGAAGGCAGGCGTATCTCTCTATATACTAAAGCCAAAGTGCAGAAACCCATAGCAAATTGTAAGCAACTTTTCTGTTAAATGGTTAAAACATGAAATCTGTTTGGTTGCAGTGGGTTAATGGCAAATCATGGCTTATGGCAGCGTCTTCATAATTTGGACTTCTATCCTGGAATTATGATTAGTTTGCACTAGATGTTTTATTTCATTTTCTGATTAAATAATGAATATGATTCCATACTTAATGCAAATCTCCAACCTGTTGCACACAGTGCCAGGCCTCTGATGCGGAGAGGGCATCAGATGCAAAAAGGTTTCTTGTTATCCAGTAAATGTTATATACTATAGGTTGTTATCCAGTTAATATTATATACTATAGGTTGTTATCCAGTTAATGTTATATACTGTGGGTGAACAAAAAATTATCCTCTGAGCTGTGTGATGGCCTATGCCTAATGTATGCAGTTTTACTGAAACTCTGGAATTCTCTTTGCATTTCTACATTTACTAAAGTGTTTCCATTGGAGAAGGTACTGTGTTCCCCATGTCATTCCTATAGCAGGTGATGGCTTGCAGGTCTGCAGGGGATGCACAAGTAGAGCTGAATGCATTCTTCCTGTCTCGCCTCTGAAATATTCAACAGGGCACCACGGCGAGATCATGAAATATTCAAAGGTTCTAGCTCTGTAATGTCATGTTAATGTCAAAAAAAGGCTGCTTTACATCAAGTGAATGTGAATCCTTACCAGAAAATTGGTCCATGCTCTAAAATCCCACAGCACCTGCAGCACCTCTTACTGCATACTGTCTTTTATCTCCCTGCAAGACACATTCATAATAGATGTGTGTTTATACAGCCAAGTGCTGTGCTTAAAAGAATTAACCTAGATGGCAATCCCTGTGTGTGTCTGTTACAGATCAGCATCTTCATGACACATCTCTCGAACTACGGCAATGACCGCCTGGGGCTCTACACATTTGAAAGCTTGGTGAAGTTTGTGCAGTGCTGGACCAACCTGAGACTACAGACTCTGCCACCTGTCCAACTGGCTAAGAAGTACTTTGAGATCTTCCCCCAAGAGAAGAACCCACTGTGGCAGGTAAGTGCAATTACTCCTTATATAACACTTCTGCGGCCAGTAAAACACTCAGGCATGTCATGGTGATTACATAAGATTTTGTATCTGCTGCATTCCAAAGGTCACAAATGACTGTTGTATATAGAGGAATGCATTGCAAGGAGTTGCTGCGCTTGTACAGCCCCCCTCTTTTTGTGTTTTTAGATGACCCCTAGTGTGATAAAGTGAGCAGAATGTTCATACTTAAAACCTCTGAAATGGCTAAATGACCCCTTTCCAGATTCTGCATGGAAAGGCAACCATTTTAGACTTTCAGGAGTAAAAGCACTGTCTGAGAGCAAACACCACAAGACATCTGAAAAAGTTTACTCTGTAGAGAACAAAAGTAGAAAAGTCTACTCAGTGCACCCCTCTGAAATTGGTTTAACGGTGTTCGTTTTTTTACGACAGGGTAGGGTTTAAATCCTTCCTAAGAGCAGGAACCACAAGTTGCTTGATATTACTCCCCCTAGCCAGAAGAGCCTTCTGTGCCTCTGTGTGGGCATGTCCATATAACTCAACATTTCTCCAACTTTTTTCCATCAACACCCTTAAAAAGTATGCAGAATCTCAAGGCACCCCAATCTAAAATGTAAAAAAACATGTGGCCCCTCCAAAACCCATACCAGACCCTTATCTAAGATAGAGGTTTGGTATGGATTTTAAAGGGTGACCCTACACAATAACACAGAAAATAACATGGGGTTCCCACATTCATATTAAGGTTCCCCTTTATATCAGAGTCCCCCTTTACATTGGTAATCCTTCTCTTACCCTAAGAGACGACCTTCATGTCAGGATCCCCCTCTTACACATCAGGAGCCCACTTCGCATTGGAGGCCTGACACAGTGTCGAGGTTTTGAGGCCAGAAGGCACCCTGGTTGAGAGGCTGATATTCCACAATGATTTTCATATCACTTTATGGAAGAAATCAATGGCTTCAATGAGTTTTTAAAGTAGCTTCAATTAAAGGGTTTAGTCCATGTTTCAGTAAAACAGAATTTAGGCTTCTTTTATTAAACTCTACTCGAGTTTCCATGCCTCCATAAAGTTCATCTGAATGAGATGACACAGGAAGTCAGGACAGTTAGATGGCCTGTGGGCAAGAAAGGATGGTGCATGCTTGGCTATGTTTCTCTGAGCAAGAAGAGACTCCATTTATAGCATTTACTAAATGATCATTAACCACAATTAGCTATCATTAATAGAGACAACATCTTAATATAATGTGATCTGTCCAGATTCATGTTCACT